AGAGGAAAATAAAGTAGTCCTCCATTTCTGACCAAATACAGAAATAAATTCCAGATGGAGCAAGGACTTAAATGTAAAATATAAACCTCTTAGAAGAAAAATCCAGGTGTGATAAGGTATGGTCATATTATGAAGGGTATCCATTCTAAGTCAGAAAATTCAGAAGCCATAAAAGAAAAGCTGGACCTATTTGAATTTATAAAAACGTAAAACTTTTATACGACAAAGATGTGATATACAAAGTCTGAAGATAACAGATTTAAGAAGAATGTTTGCAGTACGGATGACTGATGTCTCTAATCTACAAAAGGCTCTTAACAATTGGCAAGAAAAAGACAAACAACCCAATAGAAAAATGGACCAAGGGTATGGATTTTAGTTTAAGTGCAATTGGAGTCCTTGGAGGTTTCCAGATAGAGAGTAATATGACTTATGTTTTAAAAAGCCCACTCAGGCTACTGTGTAGGGAATGGATGGTGGGGGGCAGGATGCAATCAGGAAACCAGGGAAGCTGGCTGGGATGTTTTTGCAGACTACCCCTCTTTTCCCAAGAGAAGGGTTAATAGATGGTCAATAAATGTAGGCTGATTTTTGATGAAAACATTTTTACCATGCTCTGCTATGGCATCTAGACCAAGGATCCTTGAGCTGACTACCTGATCCTTCCCTTGAGGGTATGTGAGGTTCAGAACATAGTAGGCCTCTTTTCAGCTTTTTTTCGTTTTCTTTTTTTTTTTTTGAGGTGGAGTTTTGCTCTTGTTGCCCAGGCTGGAGTGCAATGGCATGATCTCAGCTCACTCCAATCTCCACCTGCTGGGTTTGAGCAATTCTCCTGCCTCAGCCTCCCAAGTAGCTGGGATTACAGGCATGCACCACCACGCCTGGCTAATTTTTGTATTATTAATGGAGATGGGGTTTCTCCATGTTAGTCAAGCCGGTCTTGAACTCCCGATCTCAGGTGATTCACACACCTCAGCCTCCCAAAGTGCTGGGATCAGAGGAGTGAGCCACCACGTCCAGCCCCAGCTTTCAATATAAACAAACGTGTGTCTCTGGTTGATGAAACCCAAGAGCTTGGATGAGGGCAGTCCCTGAGAAATCCTGCCATACTCGTCCATAGCTCAGGACGGTTGCTCCTCTTAGCTTTGGTTATAGAAGGGGAGGCAAGAATATCTGTTGCAATCTGAAGAAACTAGTGAATTCTTAGTCTAATGAGAGGGAGGACACAGGAGGATGTGGATGAAACTGACAAGGAAGGGGGATCCTAAACTAACACAGGAGATGACAGAGGACGTGCCTGGCCGCCCCCCACATGCCCACATGGGGAGGATGGGGTTGCACTGAATAATCTCTTCTCTGCTCTTGAGGCTTGGGGACCCAATGACTTAACTGAAGTCGTGTGTCCACATATGAAGCCAACAGTTTTCAAGTAATAAATGGTCAGAATGAAATAACGACTTGCTTCTCCTCAGCTAGGAAGCGGGATTGGAAACTCCAGCCACCCACCCAGCAGCAGGGACAGCAGCTGAAGTGACAGGCAGCACAAAGGAACATCCCTCCCACCCTCCCTCCCTCCCTCGGTTTAGGAAGCCTGAGGCAAAAAGCCCAGGCTGTAGAGCAGCCCTGTGGCTTGGTGCAGAGCCTCCGCTTTTTCAAATGTAAAATAAAAAACATCTGGACAGGAGGGATCTCTGGAGAAAAACGAAAGAACGCACACAGACGAGAGCTGCCTGGGAGAGGCAGTGGAGCTGACATTTTCTGCAAAGGGAAGAGAATAGCATTGCCACAGAGGGACCTTGCATCCAGCAACAGAGCTCTTGCGGCTTATCTTTGTGGAGGCCTCTCTGTTGCCAGAAATCCCTTGTGGAGCAAGCACAAGAAAGTGGATCCAAAGGAACTGGGGGCTTGGGGGGTGGGCAGTGTTAGCTCTCCTCCAACTCTGCCCCTCACAGCTGCATCTGGGCAAATTGAGGATGCTCTATTCTCCATGACTGAGCTTGCGTCTGGTTTCCCAGGGAGATGGGCACAATGGACTCTGCTTGCCAAGGATGCTGGTCTTTAACAAAACAGCCGTGCCTTGTGCTCTGTGCAAGCACACATTTCTGCACACCCGGAAGAACGCATGCCTTCCAACAAGTATCTGCCATGTGGGAGACACTCATGAAATTCAGGATCCTGCAATCGTTTTTGCATTGCCCAAAGGCCTCCCAACTCGCGGGTGCTCCATACACACGCTTCAAAGAAATAAACGAATGAATGAGCAGATTATTTTGGAATCACATTCTAATCATCCATCTGGATACAGACCCCAAAAGAGGCAACAACCATGTGAATGAGAGCATCTTTCTGCCATGATGTCAGATGCTCTGGGCCGGGGATTGGCAAACTGCAGCCCAAGGACCAAATCTGGCCTGCACTCTGTTTTTATAAATAAAGATTTATTGGAACAGCGCCATACCCCTGTGTTTACATATAGTCTATGGGCCGCTTTTGAGCTGTTGATGGTAGGCTGACTTGAGTAGTTACAACAGAGATCACATGGGCTGCAAAGCCTGAAATATTTATTATTTGGCTGTTCACAGAAAAATTTGCAGACTCTTGCTCTAGGCAACTCCCTGGATTTAGCAGGTCTGAGGGGAGGTCAAGGAGTTCATGTTTCTAAGAAGCTTTCACTTGATGTTGATGCAGTTAGTCTTGGAGTCACCCTTTGCAATGCAAGGTTTTAGGCACTCTCTTTTTCTAAAACAAACAAAATGATGAACCATTAAACATTAGCTACCAATCTTGTACAAGGCACGAGTTTGACGCTGCAGTATCACATAACTTGAGTCGGCTGCAATCAAAGAAAAAGTCTTGGGAATCCCCATTTCTCTCCTCACTGGCCTCACTTACTGATACGAGCCTAGCAGCATACACCAAGGAAGAGATGGGAACACTCCCGCTTAGTTCATGGATAGCCACAAATCTACACAGACAGCTCAGTGGACTTGCATTGCCTTTTGACTTCCCGCATCCATTCATCCTGCTCCTGATGGCAGCCGTTTTGAAATAGTTCTCTCCTCCCGTTTCCACTCGTGCTTTGGGCCAGGCTGACTCCAGTCTTAGCCCAATCAGCACCTTGCTTCCCGCCTAAGTTACCCTGATTGGTTCAGGGGTGAGCATGTGACCCACTGGGTTTCCATGGGACTTTCCCAGAGACTTCTGTGAAAATGATGTTCTTTCCTGGAGCATCTGTAATTAGACAACATAGACTCTGAGCTGCTGTAGGCATCTCATGACCTTAAGAGGGGACTCTGAGAGGGAAAGGAACAAGTATGGAGGGGATAGTTCCAAGCAACAGATGGGAGAAGAAGCTTGGTAACTTTTGTTTAAGCTCCTAATCCAATGCTACCTCTAGCCACCGAGATGTTCCCATGGGTTTTTCAGTTATGTGAGCCCACACAGCCCTTTTTGCTTCTGCCATTTGGAGTTAACAATTTTTGTGCTTTGCAGCTGAAAAAAAAATTCAGATGGGAAGTTATTAAAACTTGCCATCTAACTGTGGCTGAGCAGCTAGGGCCATGAACACTCCCGCATGAGAATCCTGCAAGTTTGGACGCGTTTTGGCACATGTCAGGAGGAGCATTAGTAAACAGCTGCCTTTCTTGGAGCGGGGACGCTTGCTGCCTTGACCATCACCACGGCTGCTATCACTTATAGACCCCGGGAGCTCGGATCTCTCCAACTGCAACCAGCTCATGTCAAAACAGTCCCTCAGTTTCAAGAAAAAGAATCCTGGGAAAGGGTTCAGGAATCCTGCCACAAGTCAACGGAGCTATGTGTTAGGTTTTAAAGGGAAGTTGAGAGTTAAAGAAACACACAGCGAGACAGTGGCAGCGCTACAGCAAATGCAGCCTTTATGTCCAGCGTAAGACCCTACAGAGGTGGAGGACCAGCCTATGCCAGTGCCTACCACTGCTTCCAGGCCGGGATACTTATAGGTATGGGCAGGAGGGGCCTAGGCAGTGTGGCTTGCTGCCTGGGATGATACTGATGAGACATTCCCATGATGAGGCCGTCTGGCTTCTGCTCGCATGGAATGTCATGTTCCTTGCACTTTCTTCCAGCAGGTTATGATGAGGATGTTCCTGTGTCTTGGCGTCAGGCAGATGGGCAGGATGTCTCTCATGGCCTGAACCCCCGTGGAATGTTTCACTTCACTAAGGTCTGTGAAATGGTGGGGGGTTTACAAAATGGTGTAGTTTGGACTAACACAAAGAACCACCAAAGAACCTACCGAAGGGTGGGTCATCTCAGGCAAAACGACACCAGGTCATGTTTTCTTTAGCACTGTTCCATGTTCTCTTAGCATCTTCTTGACCCTAAATTAACCACAGCTCGCTCGTACGCTCTTTCTCTCTCTTTCTCTTCCTCTCTCTCTGTCTCTGTTTAACTCTCTTACCCAAACAGCGTTCAACCAGTAAACAGGTAGGAAAGGATCTTATCAAACAACCCGCAGGAGTCAGTCTCCCCAGTTTTTTAACCAGATTGATCTGGATTTGAATTCCAGGCTCACCTCTCACTGGATATGTATATATAAGTAAGCAACTTAAAAGCTCTGAATCCCAGTTTGCTTATTTTTAAAATATAAGCTCTCCTGAGTTATCGCAGAGAGATGAGATAAAGCATATAGTGGTCAGGTATAAGGCTATCATCAAACCATAAAATTAATATTACAGACATAACATTAATACTGTTTTAGCCTCCTGGAGGGGTTTGCATTTTCATAGGGAACAATTCCTTCCTAACCCAACATTAGGAAGCGTAATGTCAGAATCTCAGTCCTGGCAACAGACCTGTTGCTGGGTTTGCCTGACAGGTGGCTACTTCACGAAGGTGTTCAGGAGCCCTGCACAGTCCTTAGGCAATGACCCTGAGAATCAGAAACTCAGGCCATGTATGTGGAAGTAAAAAAAGAAAGATTCCAGAGACTGGAGGGGTTGCTGAGTGACAATCGGGCTGTCATCACTGAATTCTGCTGGGCTACCTGGAATTGGCTTAGGGTGGGATTACACAGACTCCAGCCACACAGAATTTCCTTCTATTTGGTCAGGGGGAGCATCATCCAGTGAGGACATGTGTTAGTGATCTCTCTTGCATAAGCTAGGAATTCCCTCAGGATCCATTTTTTCCAGGAGTTTTGAGAAAGGGACCGACGGCAAAGAGGATGGTCCTTCCACTCCCAAGAGCAGCCGTATTACTTAAAAACTAGAGAAATGCAGGGACTCAAAACAACCCCGGTACAGCCTGTTCCCTCTTCCCGCATAGGATACGAGCCTGTGTGGGCCCTGATTCCACAGTGCACTAAAGACCCGTGGCACCTGCATCACTGGCGTAAATGACAAGCTTCTGAAGTTCAGATTCATTAACACTGAGAGTGGTACCCAGTGGATTTGTGCCAGATGAGCAGATCCTTTTCATTGCCCATTTTGGAAATTTCACATTTCATTCTGCTTTGTGACTCCCCCCACTGCATGATAATATAGATGAACATTTTGCAAAACAATAACAACTAATGTTCTGCTTGAAGGAAAATCAGACATTAGGCTTCTTATAAGAAACAAGAAGTGATGTGGAAGACTTCATGATATTATATCTTGGAGAAGAAAAAGCCATTCCGTGGTTCACTCCCCAAGTCTGTGGGATGGATTGTTTTTCTCAAAAAGGGGTTATTTTCACAACTTTGAGACTACAATGAATTTCTGCAAAACCCACAGAAAAACTGCCTCTTTTCAGTGACTTTTCCCCCATCCTTCCCCAGGAGTCTTTAAATCTGACAAAATTTTTCTTTTCAATGAAAACAAAAAAATTAAACAGTTGTGTCTCAATAGGGCTAGCAGCGCTTTCAAGAACTGATAATAATTTATTTAGGACCATGTATAGTAAGATAACTTTATATACATGTTGCACAGAAGCACCCTGCAAACACCGTGCTGCTTTTCGCTGTGGTACCATTCCTTGTCGGAGCACCCAGGAAACTTCCATCTATCAGAGATCACGTATGACAGTCCTATCTTCTGTGTAAAAGGTCATCTCCCAGCAGAAGAACAGCTCGCCTAGTTAAAGGGATACCAATTTTTAGGCGCTCTGCCAAGCTGAAGACGGAGTGAATGAGTGAGAGAGGGAGATGTCAGATTTCAAATGCAGGGCACGCTCATGGTGCCCTCAGATGCTGAGCGTGGAGGAGGGGAAGAGAAACCTCTGTTTAGAGATGACTGGGAAAAAAATCAGTACCACACGGTGCACTTGAGAAGCAGTAGGGGGGGCTGTTCTTGCCCTCTCCTTGGATGTGACAAAATGGCCACCATGGGAACAGGAAGCAGCAGCAAATGGCGGCTGCAGGGCTTCTTGGATGTTTGAGGAAGTGCCTGTGTCTGTCCAGATCTGTGTGGGGTGTTCCTGGGGTAGCAGGCTTTTAAAGTCAGGGTGAACAAAAGGGATGCGTTTAGAAGACACGGACAATTGATAAGGAAAGTGGTCAGAAAGCACCAAACGGTAATGATCTGGGAACACCCAAGGCTCCAGGAATGCATGTTGACCCCAAGGAACTTAGAATTCACAGTATTTTCGCCATCTTGAATCTACATAACCATGCCACCGCAAGGAACCAAAAGTATCCTGGTCTCTGCAAACGCTCAGCAGCTGCTTTTGAAATGCTCTGTTTAAAATGACCCCATCCCTACCACGGGTAAATGGGCAGGGGATTGGAGGCCCCATGGAGGGGTATCCCTAAGCCAACCTGCTAGGACAGCAGACAGGTCTCTGCCCTCCCCCAGCTCCCACTGTTAGCTCCCTTCCTCCCGGGCGTCGAAGACTTCCTGACACTCCCCGTTACATCAGACACTGATCTGGCCCCGTTTCCCTATTAGAAGGGCTCTGTGACGACCCGCCAAGCCCACACACCGATCTGAGTAACTGTGTTTTCCTTCCTTCAGGACATGGTTACGTTTAGTAAGGTCTTTTCCTTCTCAAGGCCGATGCCCACAGCAAAGAGAGCGAAGCAGTCAGAATTTCAGACACTGTGAACAACTCCCCTTGGGGTACCTCTGGGGCTGGCGTCTTTACATCACTGTGACAGAGAACTGGCCCGCACAGACTATGACCACCGTGTCTTTTCTTAGAGCTTTTGTTTCTCTGTGGGTGTCCATGTGCTCTTTTTCTTTCTTTCCTCACCACTCTCCAAACCACACTCACACAAATAGACGTCCGCATAAAGAGAGATGCGCATATGAATGTTGTCTATCCATGTGACGCTCTCACACACGTGGGGCGTTAGCACAGCCTTTCCCCACAGTCTCTCTTGAGCTTCCCAGCACCCAGCATCCCCCAAAGCAGGCAATGGCACACTCTGGCTCATATGCTAAATCTAGCCACTGCCTGCTTTGTAAATAAAGCTTCGCTGGAACACAGACCTGCTGATTCGTTTGTGTATCGTCTATGGCTGCTTTTGCGATAGAACATGGTTGAGTACTCACAAAAAAGACCATGTGGTCTGAAATACTTGCTCACTGGCCCATTAAGAAAAAGTTTGCTGCCCCCTAGTCTAAAGCAGCATCTTATATCTAGAAAATCTATTTCTTAAAAGTTGTCAAAAGCTCTTTCTCTTATAAGTGTTTCATAAACCTCTACCTCTTAGAGTCATGGAGCCCTGTAATTAGAAGGTGTATTTGAGATTATTAGTCCTACTTATGGCCGAGTACCTGATTCTCTTCTAGAATACCTGTGGACATCTCATCTCTCTTGATGCTTCCAGGAAAAGGAAACACAGATACTCATAAGGAAGCTGTGAAGTTTCCCAACAGCTTGATTGGAAAGTTCTTTTTTATCTGCAGTGAGAATCTGACATCCTATCATTTCCACCCACTGATTCCCATTCTGCCCTTCGGGGCCAGTCAGGAAAAGGAGGACAATCCTCTTTTAAAAGTCAGCCAGGAACAGCGGCGCGCACCTGTAATCCCAACACTTTGGGAGGCCGAGGTGCGCGGATCACTTGAGGTCAGGAATTCGAGACCAGCCTGGCCAACATGGTGAAACCTCATCTCTACTGAAAATTCAAAAATTAGCCAGGCATGGTGGTGCACACCTGTAGTCCTGGTTACTTGGGAGGCTGAGGCAGGAAAATCACTTGAACCTGGGAGGCGGAGATTGCAGTGAGCTGAGATCGTACCATTGCACTCCAGCCTGGGTGACCGAGTGAGACTCCATCTCAAAAAACAGAAAAAATAAAAAAAATAGGGCACGAATGTCTGGAGGTAATTGACATGCCTCGCCTTTATGTTTTGCTTCTCCAGATTAAAAAATAACCCCAGTCCCTTTATCTGTTCCTCAGGTGGTCTGATCTCAAGGCCTGCCACCTCTGTAGCTTCTCTTGGTGGTCGATATCCTTTTGAAACCTAGAGGGCTATGAGTACTATGAAGACATCAGGTGCCTTCTCAAGATGGGCATTCATTCCTGGTCACCATGGTGCTGACAGTTCACCAATGACGTGTTAGAAGCTTCCGGAGGGCAGGAGCAGAGGCTTGCTGCTCTTTCTGGAGCACAAGGCACAGGGCCACTCCGTCATCTAATCAGATGTCCTTTGAAGCTGGATATGCCAAGCCTTCGCACCAATGGCTGGAGGCCTAGCGGGGATTCCACCGGAAAGCTGGTTCTAGAGAATGGTATATTTTGAATTAACCACTCAACAAATCATAAAGCAGGATTGTCAGACTCATTATGGGAAAAGCTGCACTGAAAATAATGCCTTAAGTATGTGTTGTTGCTGCTGGGGATACAACTGGTATTAGTGGCTTAAGGGGCTCAGGAAATTTCCATGAGACCGTAACAAAGGAACAGCCAGCATTTGGTGAGAACAATGGAGGATGGACCCTTTTTTTTTCATTGATGAAAGGAGATCTTTCTTATTATTTAAAAATTTGCTACTCTGAACACCCACTTCTCCCCCGGTGTACCAGGTCAGAGTTACTGAGGAGGAGGTTTAAAAAAAAAAATCCTTAAACCACCCCCCCAAAAGAGGGCTCGATGAGGTCTCGTTCTGTGGTAATGAGCTCCAATTTAACTCGATCATTATTTCTCACATTAAAGGCCCCAGAATAGTGTCACATGCCCAGAAGTTTTTTTTTTTTTGTTTTAACCAGCTAATCCTAGAAATAAGAAACTGCCATGAGGGACAGTGAGTCAGGGCCTGGAAAAGTGCTTTAGGAGAGGAATGTGGTAACAAACTGACCGGAACTGTGGGAGGCACAGCCTGTGCAAAGCCCTTACCACCGAGGGTGGTGGGGTGGGGCCCAGCGTATATAGGACTGCCCAGTGAATAATGAAGAGCCTAGGTTTGGGCCGGGTGCGATGGCTCATGCCTGTAATTCCAGCACTTTGGGAGGCTGAGGCATGCAGATCGCCTGAGGTCAGGAGTTCGAGACCAGCCTGGCCAACATGACGAAACCCTGGGTCTACTAAGAATACAAAAACTAGCCAGGCATGGTTGTGGGCACCTGTAATCCCAGCTACTCAGGAGGCTCAGGCAGGAGAATCACTCGAACCCAGGAGGCAGAGGTTGCAGTGAGCCGAGATCATGCCACTGCACTCCAGGCTGGGTGACAGAGTAAAACTGTCTCAAAAAAAAAAAAAAGAGTCTAAGTTCGGTGTTGGATTCTAAGTTTGAGGCTTAGCTGTGCTGCTTGTGACAAAGCTTTACAACTTTAGGGAATTTTACTTAAGTTCCTGATGCCTTGGTTTGGCTCATCTGTGAAATGGAGCCCAGAATAGTACCTACTCCCAGGGGGAGACAAAATCAAAGAGGATGCAGAAAACAGACTCTAACATATCAAGGAGAAGAAAGGAATCTACAGGATGATGGACAGGGAGGGACATCCGGAAGCAACAGCTGGGCTCCAGGCTTAAAGATCAAGCAGTGCCAAGGGGGGCTCTGGGAGAACTTTCATAAGAAGACAAAATGGGTAGAACGCCCAGTAGGTATGCATACATTGAGAGATGGCCTCCCCTACCGGGGAGACTTCAGGTATGTGTCAATGACAGAAGACTAAGAAAAGCAAAAATAGAACCACCAAAACCAGTTATTCAGGAAAGGAAGAGTAAACAGAGTACTACATGGCTCAACTAGGCTAACTACTGATCGGATAAAAATGACAATATCACAATATTGGCAAGATGGGAATTTTATGAGGTTTTTTTGAAAGGGCATTTAAAAGAGAGCTTGGCCCTCATTTTTCGCAGTGGGAAGTCAGTAGATAATGCCTACAAATAGAAATCAAGAAATAGCAACAAGGCCAGGCACAGTGGCTCACACCACTGTAGTCCTAGCACTTTGGGAGGCCTGGGGTGGGCAGATCACTTGAGGTCAGGAGTTCGATGCCAGCTTGGCCAACATGGTAAAA